TGTGATTTCAGGGTACAAAGACTGTGTTCATTTCATTATTTGTAGTTCTTTGTCTAGACGCAGAGGAGGAATTTAACTTCATGGAGGTACTTTTCCAAGAGTGCAGAAGTTATAGAAAAGGTTTTCATAGCAGCTTCAGGCAGAACCTAGAACAGTGGGGTTTAGTCCCTATTAGAATTTTTTTTTTTTTTTGGAGTGAAACAATGCTGAAGATTTGCTTTTAGGCATAGAAAGGAAACAGACATCTGAGAGTTTTACTGGGTTTGTATTTCTCGTTTGGCTTTTGTTTTTTAAATTACTTAACAAGGTCTGTCATACCTCAGAAATTTAAACTCAGGTGAGCTTGTTTCAAAACTGTGGAAAACAGTTTTTGAAACATCTTAACATTGTTTTTAGGTTTAGAGATGTTTTAACACATATTTACACTTGGGGGGATATGGATAAATGTAGTTTTGTTTAAAATTAACATGTTTTTGTTTACTTTATAGGCAGGTAGAGTTCAGATTTTGTACATGAACTCAGCTAACATATACACCTCCTGAGAGCCAATATTTCCTTTGAAGAATTTCTTTCCCACCTGCATGCTCCACCCTGCTGGGCTAAGCGTGGCAGATAGGGAAGAAAGTTTTTCCTTGTGTTATTATTACACCTCAGAAGTATCATTCGAAATAAGGCTTCTGAAATTGCTAAGAGCTGTGCTAAATTCAATTTTTCATTCATTTTACATCTGTCAACCACTAACTTTGTAGAATGAGCCTTTTACTTTTACAGTGGAACAATGTAAAAGGTTTTGACCAACTTCTATGGATCATCTTAATAGTTTCAAGATTCAGTGTTTTTATTAAGTTTTTATCCAATTCTTCTGAAAGTTCATTAGCTGCATACCATATCTACAGATTGAATTAAAAGAGCTATACCATATTGTGACCCCTCTTTCATACTGCTCTGATAGGAAAGTGAACCAGGCTATAAATTTTTAAGCTTTACTTGTTGAACAGTAGGACTGAACTTTCATACCTAAGACTTATCTTTAAAGGAAAGACAAAGTTTATCATGTAAGATCTTAACATGTCAGGTATGCCAGCACAATTTCCTCAGTGGAATCCTTTTGCTTGTGATAGGAGATATTTCCTGGGAGGTAGTTCCCTCCATGTGCACAGCCTACAGTTAGATTCCTCATAACTTCAGGATATATTTACATGGAAAACTTCTTTTGTAATATGCTGCAGGTGTCAATTTAATGCATCCTTTCTAGTCAGGAGTAATTTGCCATGTCAGCAACTATTAACACACTGTGAGATTAAAGTAGACAAAGAGATCCTTGCAGACTGTGAGATCCACATGGAAGTCATCTATTGTGTGATTCAGATGCCTTTCACTGTGTACAAATGAGCTTTCATAGTACAGGTTTCATATGCTGACAGCAAGTATATGTGGCCTCTGCCATTAAGTTTATGTGCATAAACACAGAGAATCCCACTGTTGTGTGATAAAGGCCAGAATGTCTTAAGTGAATTAAAAACTATCTGCAAGTTAATCTAGGACAGTAGTATTAAGTCTTGCTTTTCACTGCAAAATTATTCCTCTTAGCAAAGGAGGGAGAGAGGAAATGATTTTTAGAACATCAATCTCACTTCTACTCCATTTGTTATTCTAGATTAATAAAATACTTCCTACTATTTCCTAATCATGTTCATGGTCTTGCAGCTCTGTGACCAAAGCTGCATTTAGGCCTATGTAATTCATCACTCTTTCGTCTTTTTGGTTGTCTATTTTCTTCTCTTCCATCCTTCTGCAGCACCTATGAACAGCAGCAGTTCACTCTTACACCTTATTTTGTCAAGGCAATAAGTCCCTTTTCTTTAACTTTTCATCAGTTGTACTTTCCATTCTCCCAATTCCTGTAGCAGTCTCTTCTGTATTTTATTGGTGTAATTCATCTTCAAAATTGACAATTGGTATAATATATTGTATCCAGAAATAGCTTGTCTAATACATCAAAATATTATATTTGTACAGAAAAGAAAAATCAATAGTTCAAATTTCAATTGCTATCCCATTTCTGCTTTGTCTATCTCTGAGATCAACTGATTCTTTTTAGATTAGATTGCATATTGCTTTTATTATCATTTTATTTTCTCTTTTGTGTTAAAACATTAATGTCAGTATGAAGATACTCTGTCCCAGGCCTGATTCCTGGACATCTAGCAACTTCTGCCCAGGTTCTAATTCTACACATTACTATCTCTGCTTTCATTGAAGTATTCACTGCACATCACTGTAGTTAAATGCCAAAGATATTCAATATCAATTCTCATTTTTACACTTTGTCTTACTGCAGGAGGGAATTAGTAAAAATCTGAATCATGAGACTTCCCAACTGCTAAGATGGAAATCATAAAGTAAAAGTTCTGTAGATGTGCAATAGAAACTGATGTCAGTAGTGAAACATCAGAAAGAGAAGGAGCAAGCCAGCCTTTGGGCTTCCACCAGTAAGAGACAGGTAGTAAAACAGAAGTGAATCATGTTTACTTACTGGCAGCCATGAACCTAGTGCCTTCTTCAAAGATTTGTATGGTCACCTGTTCTTTCAGGCTTGCCAGGTGCACAGTCTTCACTGATGGCATTTTTTTGCCCCCTAACTATTTTGATTTATGGTATCTTCCATTATTTCCACTATGTTTTTGAGAAACTGTTTTCAGATTTTTTTTCACCTTAACTTCTTCTACACTTGATCTCCTGAATATTCTGGTCCTCCAAGATTTTTTCCCCTCCTTTCCACTTTTTAACACTGCTGTTTCTGTTTACCTTGCACATCTCCCATTCTGCTGCAGAGTAGCAACTGCCAGCTGATGAATTGTAGCTGCAATGCCAAGCTGTGCTCACAGTGGTACCAAAGGTCACAAAAATTACCAAATCACTGATTCAATGAAACAATCAGGTTGGGAAAGACCTCTGAGATCATTGAGTCTAACCAATGACCAAAGATCATCATATCAACTAAACCATGGCAATTAGTGCCATGACCAGTCTTTCCTCTAACACTTCCAGGACGACTCCACTACTTCCCTGGGTAGTCCATCCCCATTTCTGATCATTCTTTGAAAAAATTCTTTCTGATGTCCAACCTAAACCTTCCCTAGCACAGCTTAGGACTTTGTCCTCTCGTCCAGTCTTGTTACCTGGGAAAAGAGACCGACCCTCACCTGGCTACACCCTCCTTACAGGTTCTTGTAGAGAGTGATAAGGTATCCCCCTTGAACTCCTCCACACAAGCGCAGCCCCTTCAGCTGCTCATTAGACCACCAGCTTCATTGCTCTCCTCTAGACCACTCCAGCACCTTGATATCTTCCTGAATTGAGAGGCCCAGAAGTGTATACAGGACTCAAGGTGTGACCACACCAGCAGTCACAGTGCTGAGGAATATAGTACAGTGTAGTATAGTAGTGTACTGGTATCTCTGTATAAAGGTATTCTCACAATTCACTCCGATTTGGTGAACTAAAGCTGCTGTAGGAACAACTGGAAATTTTACTGACACAAGGGTGCCTGTTTCTGGTTGAAGGACATTCTCTGAATGCAGTTCTCAAACACTGTCAATGTGCATTAATAAACTAATGAACTGACTATGCCTCTGTGTTGTTATAGCAATAAGAAACAATGAACAAATCCTGCTTGAAATTTGTTCAATAAAAATGGAAAACTGAAACTACCCATTTACATCAAGAATATTTTAAAATATGTATGCATTTGGGAAAGTATTTCCTCTTGTATTTTGTAGTTATTGAACTAATGAATGAATGTATTTCCTTTACTAATTAATAAATTGTCATCTGTTTGGCCTGATAGCAGAGTCACTTCTAATATGACACTGGAGAAGAGTCTGTTCCACACCAACATTCAATCTACGAGCACTTTTGCTGTAGATGGTATCTGGAAAACATGGAGGTAAATGTCATGAGGAAGGGCTGATGGAAGGGGTGGGAAGGGGGAGCTTTAATGAAATGACCTCTTTTGTTCCTGTATTTGTACTAAATACGCCTGGATATAAAGTAAACTAGGAAAAAAAGTTCACATTGACTAGTGAATAATCATGCCAAATTAAAATAGGACTTTGAAATACAAATTTTTTGTTCATTTTGATTGAAGCTCATAACTTCTGTAGAGATTTTATTGAGTAAATGAAAGAGAATCAAGAAGAATCAAGACAGAAATAATTCTGTGGTTCATATGAGCATACTGTACACTACGTTAAATATTTTTTTTTATTTTTGTTTTTTAAAGCACTAAAACAAAAGTAGATCAGTAGGACAGGAAATGCATTTTACAGGTGATGTGTGCTGCACATACAGCTGCATAATATTTATGTGTCCACTATTTGCTTATCCTATGTAATGAAAACCTGCTGAAGTCTCAGATTATCAAAATAGGAAAAGCTTCTGTATAATATGAAAAGTAAATTTCAATCTACATTGTTCCCTGTGTATTTCTTGTAAAGATTTCCATTGAGGGATAAAAGAAGCATGCAGGATCTTGTCAACACCGAGTGTTAACAATGACTCAAGAACTCAGTCTAACATTAATTAAAAACAAAACAAGACAAAACAAACCTAGATTGATGAGATACAGAAGACATTGGCAGCTATGGAAGTGTCTCCTATGTTCTAGGGTAGTTGTATGATACCAATGTTAGAGGCATTTCTATTGACTCCCTAGAGGATTAAGCATGTTCTTCCAAAGGTTTGCTTAAGATGTATTTAATAGGTTACATTTGATTTTTTTAAGGTGTAGAAAATCAAATATGGATTTAAAGAAATCCATATTCATACAGATGCCAATCAGTTAACTTATGTCTCCATAAAGCTGCATGAAAGATTTAAAATTATTCTCCAGGGAATTCCTTTTAAGTTAAATTCCATAGTTTCATATATGTGTTTTATGACAGTTTCACATAGGCCCCATCACTTGGTCTTTACACAAAAATGAATACAATCTCTACTTTGTGCATATTCTTTACTGTTTATTTTTATTTTTAAGTCAGATTGAATGTAATATATTAAAAACACTTTAATCATTTAGTTATAAGAATTCACTCAATAGATTTTTTCCCCTCTTTTTAATAGGACTTTCTGAACAGAGTTCTTTTGATCTCCTTGACTGCTTTCTATATTGTAAGTCTAATCCTATATTTAAACATTTTCCTACATTTCATCAAACACTCTGATTTAAATTTTCCTTAATCTAGCTAGTCATATTAATCTACTCCTTCACTCCATATTGTAAAGCATGTCATTTCCTTTTAAAAATAAATAAAAATAAAAGTGGCTAATGAAAATGACTACTACAACATATTTGAAAATACTCCACAATTTAGCATCACAAAAAGTGAACATTTAAGAATTCTAAATGCCACCCTAATTAAAGGAACCTTCCTTTTAAATGTGCTTTTTTTCACATGCATAAGAGGCCTTATTCAAATGAAGGGGAAGACCTTTCACATACATGAGGCTATAATAGAGAGCTTAGCATAACTTCTACCTGATTTTCAATGCAAATGGCAGAGGAGAAGTTAGTGTGTTGATGCAGATTATGGTTTATCCTTCTCACACACCACAGAATTCTTCACGCTCTGGAAATATTTTGCTTATCAGTGAGAAGCAATGATCAACACCTCGCACCCCCAATCCCAGAGAGACTCAGAAAGTGAGATCATCAATATTCAGATACAGTCAGATTCTCATGGTTCCAGACTATTAATTTGCTCCTAAACTGAAGGTTTACTGTACAATTCGCAGTATAAACATTTTACTGCTACATATCAAATATCAGAGTGATTAAAAGGCAATTTAACAATGTTAGGTTGCTGAAAAGTGGCAGACAATTGGTATTTATATGCATTATATGCAAGGAGACTGCTCCTTTTACTCTCCATTGAAAAAATTTAGTACTGTAATTTTCACTTGTTCAAAAAGCAGAGTGTAGAAAGAGATTTCTATGCCTGATATGGCAACTCTTCTCAAATGATTATTATTATTATTATTCTCAAATTTAACAAGTGCATATATTTTTCACAATCCCTTAGTCAGTTCCTGTATTTACTTTCTACAAAAGCTTAAAGTCACTGCTCATGTCCCACAGAGGTTCTCCTTTCTGAGAGAACAGGCACTATTTATGACATGACAGAGGAAAGAAGCGAGCTACGCACCACAACCCAGAACCCAATTTATTTGGATTAGCATGCCTGACAGTGCAGGAGCAGTGGCATAGTTGAAGAGGGGAAGTATATGTTTGGTGTGCTGTTTTCATGAGGCTTTCTAACCATCTTGCTGGACTCATGTAGCTCTAGCATATCTTTGAAAGAAGTGAAAAAGAAATCAAACAAACAAACAAACAAATCATCTTCACTCTTCAGGACAAAAATTTGCCCCTTTCTGCTGATGTCAGTCTTCTCTAGAAAAGCATGGTGGGTTTTGAGGTATATCTTTGCTTAGGATGTCACAGTGATGGCATTGCTATTTTTAGCATTCATTCAAGTATTTCTTCCCCTGAGGGGAAAGTCTTAAGAAATTAATAATGGAGATCATTCTGCAATAGACTTCTTACATGTTTCTGTTCTAGCTTTGTATGTAGCTTTGTGGTGGGCTGATATAAGGAATAATAACCAAGTGTTAATAAACCTATTAAAAGTAGACATCTTCTACAACTAGCCTGCCACCAGGATATTCCATCTGGATAGCAAATCCTCTTTCAAGTTTTCCCAGAAGACAAAGCTGGGTCTTGGAAATAACTAGAGAAGAGAAGAGCACTATTTTCCAGCTCCTCCAGAATGCAAAAGCAGAGTTTTTGTTTTCAAAAGTTTAAAATAAAATATTCCAAGAGCTTCAGTACTTTTATCAAAACATGGAATTTGAAATTATTCAAAGCAGGGCTCTATGTATTCTGTTTGAAAAGCAGAGATTTTGTTTAGTCAGTAATTTAAATGAGGAGAAAATTTTTTAGTCAACAGTTTTCATGGTGGCTATGAAACTTCTGATATTCCAAAGGCTCACTTGGAAGGGGTCCAGAAGAACTCTAACTTGCAATTTGGCATATTCAGTAAAGGTCATGGAGACTGTGTTTTGTGTAACAGTGGTGTGAAGTCAATTAATATATTTTTGTAGACTTTCCCCCCCATATGGCTGAACCTAACACTGTGGTGGTTTCTTCTAAATAGAGACCTTACTGCTGTGCTTTCTGTCTGCGATACTCCAGTGACACTGGATTGCTGTCCTCTGAAAAATTTTGTTTTACTGTAATCCAAGTGCCTCAATTCCTCTGGATTTCCAGACACCACTGAAATATTGGTTGCTTTTTTCCTATTTGTCCTACTGCCTCTGAAGTTGCTGAGAGGAAAATTGTGTCAGTGATGGTCTCTTCTGACAATCCTGCTCTAGGTAACCTGTGATATCTACAAGGTCTTTATCGTATGTCTTCACATAGTTTTTATACGGTTCTGGAAGATTGGTTTTCCTCACACCTAAAGCTTCTTACAAACAAACTGAAGATAATTTGCCTACACAGCTGAAGAATGCAATTTTTCTGGGAAATGTCTAGTATGTACCTATAAAGTGTTGAGTGGTTTTTCATGATGGTTAATTTTATTTGTGCTGCCATCTTTAACAATGTGAAAACACATCTGAAGTAGCAGATCCATCTTCTATTTAGAAGAAACCACCACAGTG